CTTAATAGTAACTAAACACCAGAATAATTAAAATGATGTCACTGACTCTCAGGCTGCCTACCCTGCAAGTGGAAACCTGCAGGGGACAGAAGAGCACAGGTTGGAGGGAAAGGCTGACTCATCTGTTAACTTAGTTTTAAGTGGAAGAAATAATGTTTAAAGCTTAAACCAAAACTCGAGCATGTCACTGTTTAACTGAAGCTCGGAAAAATCATTGCCCCAGAGGCACTTCTGTGGAGTCAGACCCTGTGGATCTCCTGTTCTCATGCAGTGCTGGATGATGATGCAGTCTGTACCTGGGGTAGAGTCTGCTCCCTGGTGTTCTAAAAACCCACTCACCACTGTGGTGTGAACTCGGACTCACCCTGGTGTGATGGGCAGAACCTGGCTCTCATTTCCAGAGGACTAACCCTGTGTGGGCCTGTAGGACAGGGCCTTGAGCCTTCAGTGGTGCTTGTGCTGTTCAGCTGCTGTGCTTGGGGAGGGCAAGGCTGATGTAGTGACTTGGCTTTGGAGGAGTGAAGGAGGGCTTCATGTAAGCATGGACCCCATGGGATGTGAACCTTACTCCAGCAGTATTTAGAGATGGTGAAAGGTACTGAGGTGACAACCCTGATGGCTTTTCTAACATGCTTGCCCTCATCACGTTCAGAAGTGCCTATGAAAGCACCCCTAAGTGCCCTATCATGCCTCACACTGAAATGAGCCACTTCTCAAGTTTAACTTTGCAGTTGTTGAAGCCCAACTCCACCCTTCAGGAGAAGCCAGTGCTCCTGCTCTCCCGTGAGCCAGACTGGGAGGTCAGGAGTGGTGATTCCCACAGCCAACACACCTGTATTGGTAGAAAGATGCTGTGAGAGAAATTATTATTCTATCCTATATGATAATAGGAGCTGCTTCCCAAATGGGATATGGATAGGGCACAGAGGCTCTAAGAGCTGGCACCCTCTCCCATGCCCTCCCTCAGCCCTGGTCTACATCGCTTAGCAAAGGTTTTCCCTCCAGTGGTGCAGTGAGTTCCCTGTTCAAATACTGCCCTGTAAATCCAGCTTCAAAATCCATTTTCTGGAGACTCTGAAGGATCCCCATCTGCTGGAGGAGCCCCTCCACTGGGAATTTGGGGCTCTAGACGAGACATTCTTCCCCCTTTACTTCTCCGCTGCTGGTGTCCTTCCTGTGTGCTGCCCCCTCCCCCAGCAGTGATGGAGGGAGTGGAGGGGATTTGTCTGTGTGGCTTTGCTAATGGGAGATGAGCGGGGAGGGCACTGCTGTGTGGTCCCTGCATCCGGCAGGAGGACTCAGGAGAAGCGAGTGGGCTGGGAGCGTATCCGTACCTGCCACGTGGCTCCTCCGAGTCTGTTGAATGAAATGCGTCCAATTAGCAGCCCAGGAGGGTTGAGGAAACAGGATTAGTCAGGTTCTGGCTGTGTCCCAGGGGCCAGTGAGTCACCCCACCTTTCCCTCCTCCCCACCCTGCAGCCTCCAGCGTTTGTGCTCCATCACAGCTGCAGTGTTCTCCCAGGCGGGTTTAGCTGTGCAGAGACTTCAGGTGGAGAAAGGTGTCCTGGGAAGGATGTCACCAGCTCACTGCCCAGCTGGGCTCTGGGGACCTCAGCTCCAGCTTGCTGTTAGAGCTGGCTTGGCAGAGCTGTGACTGGGGGGAAGGCAGGAGTTTAATTTGCCTGTGTGGACACAGGGATGTGGATAATGGAAAAGAGGTAACCGAGAAGGGTGAGCTGGGGACTGAATCCTGACATGACCAGCCAAGGCAGGCTCTGCCACAGGCTGGGAAAGTAGGAGTAAAAGTAACTGGACCATCTGCCCCTTTGTGGGAGTTTATCAGGAGCAGAGCTGTGACATGTGGCTTCAGTCACACCTCTGAGGACAAGGAGGGGAAGAGGAGGGGGTGGAGAGTGAACCCATCTGTCTCCCCGCTGTCTGACAAGGAAGCTCGTGAACATACGGGATAAGAGCTGGCAGAGAGAGTGAGGGATATCCGTCTCATGGAGCTTAGTGGCTGCTGATCTGAACAACTAGATGGAATAGTTTTTTCTGTCACCCTTTGTTTTGGGACGTTATTTAGCTGGGTTTGAACAAGAGAGACAATGGGCTGTGTAGGGGAAGCAGGATTGCTGTTAAATGCACTGCCCCATCTCCCTGCCCTTCTCACAGTGCCTCTCAGATGGACCTTGCAGCACTTGGGGCTGCCTATTCCTGTGTGAGTAGCTGTGTCCTTCCCTACTTAGCCATGCCTTTTATTCAGGGTCTGCCATTGGTAACCAAGGCACTGAGACGGGGGTCACATAATAAATACAAATTGCAGAGAGACAAAGAGGTAAAGCTGAACACAAACCAGAACGTTGATGGACACTCAGACTTAAACAAAGCCAGCTCTGAAAAATTTGGAGAAGGGGTAGGATGTTTGGAGCAGGTCACACCAAGGTGCACAGAGACTGTTTAGCTACTGGAAGGCCTTACCTTACCCCTAGGTAGGGTGACACTTCTGCAGGTGTTTGATCAAAAGGTTTGCCTTCAAAAGACAGGCTCTTGCCCTGTGCTTTGGGGTGATTTTGGGAAGCCGACAAAAAGCTGTATGCTGGCTGTGTTCTTTGCCAGTTTGCTGTCTGTACCTCTCTTCCCAACATCATCCACATGTCTCCCTGAGATGTGTTTTTATGGATGTACAGGGAAAGGGAGGGACCCCACAGCCAGTATTTAGATGTTTGGACTAGGAAACACCTTGGGGACAGGCAGGAGGAACATGAGGGGATGTAAACTGTGAGCCTTTGCAGGGTGGTAGGAAGGGGCAGGTGTCTCTAGTGGGGCACTGGCTAAATGGGAAGCCTTGTCCCTGGTGTTGGGACCAGGTCTCTCTAGCACAGCTTTCTACCTCACATAGATGATATCTAAAAGGACTTCAGCTTGGAAAAGTGCCCGTGTACTGTGTGTTGACTTCAGAGTGATGAGATCTGGAAAAGGTTTACCCCTCAACACCCCTTTTTAATGCTGCACCAGGTGCTGGCCTCCCTTCCTGGTTAGCCCATGGTGCCCCTGTGGTTTTTAGCATGTGGCTTGGCTGTACCAGGTCAGACTGACTCACTTCAGATGGGAACAGACCAGTTCAGCCATAAACATCTTTACTGTGTGAATAAGATAATATCTTCAACGTGCTGCCTTCTGAGATCCCCGGTAATTCAGTCTGTTTTCACTTCACTCATACTTTCCTTATGACTGGTATTAGAGGAAAAAAACCCACCCAGTATTTATCACCTCCTTTCCCAGCAAAGTGTGCCAGTTCTTCCCTTCACTTCCTCATGGGAGAAAGGTAACACAATAGTTTCTCTTGTCCTGAGGGCAGGTCTGACTGGCACAGCCCACATCTTCCTCGACCTTCGCTCTGGAGCCCTTCAGGGAAAGCACTGACCAAAGAGCAAAGCAGTTCCATGAAAAATAGCAGGTGAAAATTCCTGGCAGTTAAAAAGGGGAAGGATTTTCAGGTCATAAAGCTGGAAAGTTCCTGATGTGTCTGGTTTTATTGCCCGGGGAAAGGCGGGCGAAAAACCGACGCGGTACCGTCGGTCATGGTGTGGATGTGCTGCCACAGAGGGCACAGGCTGACAGAACCTGGGGTGAAAATACACAGACAGAGACTCTGTTCTGAGATTCGTTCGGTGAATCAAAAAGCAATGTGCTGCACCTGATGATGCCAAAAGTTTGCTGGTGTTGCACACCTGCCTGCTTTGGTCACCAGAGGTGAGTGAACGGCTGTGTGTTCTCTACGGGGTATAGGCTGAAGTATTGGCTGTACTTTAAAACACCTGCAAGTGTGATGTGTGTGCATTGGGTGCACCTGTAAGTGCCTGCCTGGCTTAGAAAATGCTGTGCAGGTGACACGGTTTTGCTGTGTGGCTGTGTAAGGCTGAATTTCTGTTCTGGGTATATCATGGGTGGCTGCTGCCGTGAGACCATAAGCATGGTAACAAATGCCTTTGAACTGTTTGATGTTTTTAATTCTTTATAGTTAATCCATCTACAGTAACCAGTTCCTCCATGTTTGACAAAGTGTTGAACAATGTGCGTCCCCGCGGAGCCCGGCACAGGCTGTTGGTGTAATCCCTGCTTTTAGCTGATCTGTGCTGTCTTTTCTCTAGTCTTTATAATGAGCAAAGTTATTTCCTAACCTCCGACTGTTAAAGCTGCATATACAACACACAGACATTTAATTTGCCCTCTCTTAACTTTGTGTGAAGCATTTGTTATTTTGAGGAAGCTGCATAAGCAACTCTGTTTTCCCTGAGCTGCTCTTTCACAGCTCCTCGCTCTGCAGAGCTCTTCACATTGTGTTTTTTAGTCCTGTTTAAAACCCTCTGCCTGGGGTTCCCCAAAGGCCATGCAGACTGTGAGGCACAAGAGCAGCATGAGGAACTAGCACTGTGAAAATCTGCTCATTGCCATGAAAAGCCACAAAGCTGGTGTTAGCAGCAGTAGTTTTGAGAATTTTTCGCAGTCCCTTGAAGCAGCGTGATTATTATCTGCTTGATTTTGCTTGAAATATTTAGGATTAGCATCAAAATGAACCAATTCTTGAAGGTGTCTTGCTCACCAGACAATAAAGCCCACGGGAGGCAGACAGAACTGGACTGAAAGGCTGAGTCTGGGTGTGATTTCTGGCCCCAAGATCTTTCTCTGCTGTGTGCTACTGGGATATCAGCACAGCCATCAAAGTTTGCAGATTTCTTATAAATATATGACATGGTGATTCAAAGGCTCAAGTTTTGAATGAAGAAGCTCTATTGACAAGCTGCTTAGGAACCCCAGTTGGGCCAAGAGGCATCATTGGGCAGTGTTGATAGGGGTTTTACTCTTCCACCGTGAATATTCCCCTTGGAAATCCTCTTTGTCCTTTATCTCTTTTCCATTCATCCTCTTTGGGGGCCCAGAGTTCTCCCATGCACAGCGAAAGAAGCAGCAGTACACAGCATCTTATAGGCTGGGGGCTCTTGGAGGTGGAAATTTGTAGTCCATATGCTTCTCCAAAAGCTGCCTGAAGCTGCTGCTTCTCCATCCACCTACAGACCTGAAGTCTTTCTGCTGTGGGCGCTTCAGAGCGCCCTAGTGAACAGCCACCGTCACCGGCCGTGACCGCGGGGAAAACTCCTCCAGAAACTGAGTCTGCTGGGTGGATTCTGGTGCCAGTTTCAGACACACACTGGCCTCTGTCATGCTGTTGTTGTTGGCAGAGCTGCTGTTGCGACAGGGCTCTTTTGCAGGGCGGATGGCCACCAAGAACTGGCGCTTGAAGGTCTCGCTGAGGGCAATGTAGAGGAAGGGGTTGAGGCAACTGTTGGCGTAGCCCAAGCTGATGGCAAAGTTGTAGGCATAAAAGAAGGCCATGGATGGTGTGTCAATGCCAAGGTGAACCAGCTGGAGGATGTAGAAGGGAGCCCAGCAAATAAAAAAGGCGGAACAGATGGCAACTGCCATGCGGGTCACCTTCTTCGTACGTACCCGGAGACTCCTCTGGGGCAGTGGGACCACGGTGGTGGCCATGTGCTGGAGGATCTTAAAATACACCACACAGATGATGACCAAGGGCACTGCAAATGCCAGCATGAACTGATAGAGGGTGAACCAGTAGATATCAGTCTCCGGGTTGGGAAGCAAGAGGGCACAGCGGACGGTCCCATCCTCCAGAGGCATAAGACCTGCGTACATCCACACGGGAATGATGGTCAGGAAGGAGAGCAGCCACACCAAGCAGATAACTAGAGCTGCCACACCCGGGGTCCGGATGTAGGTAGATTTTAGGGGGTAAACAGTCGCCAGGTAACGATCCAGTGTCATCACTGTGAGGATGTTGGTGCTGGTGATCTGGCTGTTTGTGTCCAGGGCGGTGATGATGGTGCACAGGGGAGCTCCAAAGTACCACGAGCCATTGCCTAGGAGCTGGTGGATGAGGAAGGGCATGCCCAAGAGGAAGAGGAGGTCCACAATGGAGAGGTTGAAGATGAAAATGTCGGGCACGGTCTGTTTGCATCTCAGCTTCTTCTTCTTAACAATAGTGTAGATGACAATGAGGTTCCCCACAATGCCCAGGAAGCAGATGATGCTGAAGAGACTGGGCATGATCACGTTGGTGTATGGTGCTGGCTTCTCTGCTGCTGCCAAAACAAACCAAAGCAGTGAGTGCAACCCACAGGCAACCCCTTTACAACTCTGTGCTTGCCCTGTCCTGCAGCTGGACCCATCCCTACTAAAGATGTAGCTCGGAATGATTTTTAATACCCTTTGCAGAATTTGGTGAGGCTTAGCTGGGGATTCAACACTTCCTTCTGTGCCACTCAGTACATGCAGCACACCACCTAAATCTGACCGTGTGTAAACATCTTTCCTCAGCTTTCTTCTGTTCTGCTCTGAAACTTCCCTGCCTTTTTGGGGGGAGTTATATCAGGCTGGCATGCCTTTGTACTCACTAGTGTCTGACAGAGTCGACAGTAACTTTTATTCCAGGGAGTACTGGTTTTTCAGCCATTTTTTGAGGGGAGAGGATGAGGCAGCTGGTGCTTCACACATTGGAGAAGTAAAGCCTCTCTGTGGGTGCCAAAATCTGGATAAAGTCAATGCTCAAGCTGTTGTCAGAAAGTGTCAGCTCATCTGTTGGGTAGTTTATCTATTGTATAGGATGAGACATGGAGTTCACTGACTGTGCAGGCAGACAGCTAATGCTTGTCTGTGTTGTGAGATCTGGGACTGTACCCTGGCTGAGTCCCAAGTCTGTTGTCAGAGTTGGGCCAAAACAGGCTCTCCTTTCCATCTTCCTTCTCTGCCTCTCTCCCTTTCTCTAGTTTCTTTCCTAGAAAGAAATCCAAGTGTGTGGCCAGACAGGGATTTTGGAGTATGTTTCAGAGTGGCCCTTCCACAGGGAATGTCCTAATTCTGCAAGGAGAAAAAAAGCTTAAAACTGCTGTCTCTGAGTTCTGGATGTAGGTGGATTTCCAAGGCAAAATTCTCGCCTGATAACACGTAGCACTGATGGTTGGCTGTTGCTCTTTGGGGCAGAAGGCCCAAAATAACCAAATTTACATTTGCCTTGCCTGAGTGTAAAATCACATTTTGAAGCCACAAGCTCCTGGGCACAGAAGGTGGTGTCAAAGGCAGGGATGGTGGTGCTCTTTGTTCTGCAGGGCTCCATGTGCACTGTGTGGTGGAGTCTGAGATCCCCCTTCTCAGCTGAGGCAAATCTCATTTCATCTCATTACTCCTCTCCCATGGGGCCTGGTGGGCTTTTTTCTAGGAAAAGGCTTTGTGTGAGCTATTTATGTGGCTTTCACAAGGACATGCATGACAGCCCCTCAGCTTAGACTGCATGTCATTGAATTGCAGATGACTCAATGTGCGTTAATTGGAAATGCTTTCAGTCACTGAACTATTCCACCTCCTCAGCAGCAGAAGTGGTTCCTCCAACAGGACCTAAGGAAATCTTGAAAATAAGATTAAGTGAAATAACAGATACTCGTAGGTGTAGTCTTTGCCAAAGCAGTGCCTCTTTGAGGTGATATTTGCTGACTTTGACCTCTGGAATTCTTGAGTACAACCTTCTCCACATTTACTTTGGTGTGACAGAGAAGTTTGTCTGAACTGGCAAGATAACTTGGGCCCCACTGGTGGCCTGTGGCTGGAAAAGTGTGTGCTGTGTCAGCTGTGTGTAGTATTTCAGTGCTTTTAGAAGTGGGCCATGATGAGTTGCCACTGGCTCAGTCCTTCTGGCATTGGGAAGCAGCCAGCTTAGGCATAAGCGAGGCCAAGGCCAGAACCCAAGAGAGCAGTTGCTGCACCATTTTATTGGGAAGCCTCTCTGCAGATGTCAGAAAGCAGCCAATGAGGCACAGGAAGACTGGCAGGAGCCTGAAGGTGGAAGACAAACTTGGCTGATAATACAAAAAAGCCTGTCCAGACCGTTTTTTGGGGGTTAAATGGTCCCCGTTCCTCCTGGTAACTCATTAATACAAGGAAGTGTTCCATTTTATGTGGCTTTTAGTAGATAACATACAGCTTTCAGTGCCCTATTGAAACCTGATACTCTTCAGCATCCAACCTGTGCATCCCTTGAGCATCCAAACAGATGTCACACCTTAATGCTGAAAGAGGGCAGAGTAGAAACTGGAAGGTGCTGACTGTGGTCCTGCTGTTCTGCATGTAGCTGTTATGAGTTCTGGTCTCCTCTCATTTAACTGCAAACTTTGTTATGAATGTGGTGGGAATGGATTGTATGACTGATGAAACACAAATGCCACTTGGTTAGCTGGAAATTGGGACAAAATGTCCTTTTCCTGCAGTATAATCAATACAGTGCTCCCGGTGATTCTGTAACATTTGGAATGAGCTCAGCTGGCCTTAAAGCAGAATGTGTGCAAGCCCAAAGGCTTCCTGTGAAAAGTGGTCTGTGCAATGCTGTAGCACAGTCCTGCTGTTGGTGGCTGTACAAGCAGGACCTTCGAGCGTTATTAGCTGCAAGCTACTGTGAAGCTGTAGCTCATGTGTGTTTGATGGGCTTGAGTCAGAAGAGCACATCTATCAAATACTCAGAAGTTATCTCTTTTCTAAAGCCTCTTTCATCCTGAGATATCATTGAATCTGAATTTCCCGTCCTGCTGTGCACATCCTAGTGAATACACTTTATTGAAACAGCCACTTCAGGCATTGATTTGTAGACCTGTGTCTGCTCCGATACTCCTTCTGGAAGTTCCAAAGGGGACTGAACTATGTGAACTGAATGAGGACTGGGCTAAATTTTTTTCTCTAAGGTAATGGTTGTTCTCAGCCATACCCAGATACATCAGAGACTACATCTTCAGTGCATTTCAGAACAAAGCAGCTCAGGTACACTTTTGGTCTCTAAAGGATGTGCTGGTGCAGAGAGAGTCAAAAACCACATATAAACCACCTTCCCTCGAAGAGTTTCAACTTGCACCATCAAGAACTGACTTGCTTGACCATAAACAATCGATTTGGGAGCAGGGTAGGATGGAGAAAACGGGAGACCAGTGAAGATCTCTGCTTCCCTCTCCAGCGGTATCTCACGTTCTCAGTGCTTTGCTCCCTCCCTGTCTAGCCGGGCTGGTTCGTCCCTTCTCAGCAGCCAGGACCGGAGGGCTGCTGGAGTTGCTGCTGCCCTGACAGCCAACAGGTAGCGGATGGCTCCGAGCCGCCGGGGCCAGCGGCGGTGCCGGGATGGGTCCGACGCCGCTCCCGCACCCCTGGAGGGGTCAGCCCGTCCCGCCCGGAGCTGTCCGCCCCCGGGTGCTGAAGGCGGCCCGGGCGGGGTGCGGGGGGTCCCTGCCTCAGCCTCCACCCAGCGGCCCCCAGCCCCGCGCAGCCCCCGCTCTCACCTGAGCCGTTCCGAGCCTCCGGCGCGGAGAAGTTGCGGGAGGAGTTGCCGGGGGCCATGGCAGAGAGTCCCGGGACGGAGAAAGAAAGTTTGGCAAGTTCCCTGGGCGGGTCCGCGGTGGGATGGGATGGGCCCCCCGCGCTGTCCCCACCGGGCTGGGCAGGGTGCGGGAGACAGGAGCGCTCCCTCAGCCGGCGAGCGGGGGCTGCGGCTCGGCTGAGCTCCGTTCCGCTCCCGCCCCGCCGAGCCCGGAGCAGGTTTTGACATCAAGGAGCAGCTGACTCCGGCAGACACGCCGGGTGGGAGCATCCCTCGCCGCCGTCGGTGGGAGGGAACGCGGGTGCGGAGCGGGGCCGGGGGGGCTGCTCTCGGCCAGCCGGGCGGGGAGCGGAGGGGGCCGACACGGGGGCTGGGCAGCGCCCCCTCCCATCGCACCCCCGAGGGGAGGGCTGGGATCTGCACCCTCCCAGCTGCAGCCAGCCCGTGCTCGCTATGTCTATAGGAGTACCAGATTTTTGCCTTTTAAGTAGTTCTGATCTGCCTTCAGTGTGTATTTTTCTCTCTTGTAGACGTGCACTTTTCATTCCCGAGTCACAGGCACAAAATTACCCACTGAAAACTGTTGCTTTGACCCTCTAACCTCTAACTTCAATTCCAACCTGAGACACTTCATTTGTAATTAGTTCTCTGCTGCTTTTTGCTGTTCCACTTCTTGCCACAGCTCATTTGCTTCCTAGCTCCAGAAATTAGCTCTATTACTAGTTCAAATTTTGTCTTCTATTTGCCTTAAAAATCCTAGGCAAGAACCCCCTTGGGTTTTGAGAAGCTGTTTTGCTCTTTTTCCTTGCCTTGCCAGAGCAGTAGCCTGTTCTTTTCTGTGGCTTTGAGCTGATGATTTTGTTGTGCTTCCTGCCCACTGTTTATACATGAGATGAGTTCCTTCATTATAGCTTGATAAATCACATGGTACTGGGGCAAACAGATCGTTCTGTACCTCGGAACATTTCCTGCACTGTAAATGCATAATATCATGTCAGAAGTCTGTGAGAAAACCGTCAGCAACAGGCAGGTTTCTCTCTGTGGCAGAGCACAGTGTAGAGGATTGGATTTGCTTTATAAAATCTACAACTGTCTGTCTGAATCCCTTGTTTCTGTGTCTTTCTCTGTAGTTGTAAAGGCTGACATCAAACATAGGAGGCATTTTTTTTGAGCTTCATAAGTCTATCATTTAAGACCAGAATCGATCTGTACCAATAAAAACCAGACCTAGCACAGACACATCAGCAGTCCCAGCATGGGCTGTCAGCCAGATTTGGCAGCAGCATTTTCAGTATGGGCCCTTTTCTGTGTAACCCAAAGGAGTTCATCATTATTAGGTTGTCCTCTAGTAGACCAAGAACAGACAGAAAACTGGAGCACGCTTTGCCCAGGCATTGTAGCTCTTAGGAATCAGAGACAGGCTGGGGCCAATTTGTCTGCTATGCTGTAAAGTTTTTGCTGAGTCTCTGGAGTTGCCTCAGTCAGTGATTTGCCCGTGAATTTTTTCCCTGGCAGGTATCTGTGGCGTCTCAGTTTTGGATGTGCACAGATTGCAAAAAAGTGGTATTTTTCAGTCACTTAATATTTTCTTAAAAGACTCTTCTTCCTTCACGTCTTGGGTGAATGTCAGTGTTTATCTGTATTGGGTTACTGCTGCAAAGCAAACTGTGGTTTGTGTACTGGGGTGATGGAGTCTGGTGAATAGGGTGCTGTCCTCTGCAGTGAGTGCCTTTGTGTAATTTACCTTAATCCATTCTTGAAGTATGGATTATGAGTGTTTGCATGGGAAACTAGTAGGCAGTTGCTGTTGCAAACATTTTTCCCTGCGTAGACAAACTCCTACTCAACTTTCCCTGGAGATGAATGAGCTATCTTACAGCTTTCAAAGAAAGAATCTGACATTTAAATGTAGCAGTTTCCAAAGCACAGCTTTAATTTTAATTTGCAATGTCAACTATTGCTGTGCACTTAGAAATGCTTCACATGTGAGGAAGCTGTAGTTCCTTCTTCTCAGCTGTAGAGGCATAACAAACCACAGCAGCTCCCTCCCTGGTGTCACAGCTGACATATCAAAGCCGTGCTCAGCATTTGAGATTTGCCCCACCACCATGGCTATGTGAGTGTTTTATTACTGGACTTTTACATTCAGACTTTGGCAAAGTTTATTTTTTTCCCTTTTTGCTCTGTCAATAACCTATGGAAGTTCTTGCCCCAGGGAGGGGCTGGTTTTACAGAGTTTTGCCAAGTTGAAGGGATAGAGAAAAGGGAGGAATATGAACTGCAGCAAGTGGTGATGTGTGGCCTGTCTGTGCACAGAGCTCACCGTGGGCAGAAGGAGCAGGCACAGTAATCGGCTCATTATCTGGCTGAACACTTGAAGACAGCAGCTCTCTGAAGGACTGGTTCTGTGAGTGCTCATCTGCTGGAAACTGCAGCAGGGATGAGCTCTCAGGGGACCTTGGGATATAGCCGATAAGTTGTACTAACCACTGCATGTAATTACAAGGAAGATTGAGGCACTAACCCCTTAAAAGAGAGATATAGTAATTAACATTTAGGCAGGGAACTGCCATCTCGACAGCCTAATGATGTAGATAAAGGTGAGGAAATGGAGCTCAGCCCTTGAACATAAAAGAAAGAAAAATTACTTCTTCCTACAAACTTGGCATCACCACTACACTCAGACCATCCTGTCTGCAACATCACTGCTATGAAAAAAGATAATAATCATCCAAAGCTGCTGCTAGGCAAATTCTGCAACTAGGGAATGAATCTGGCTGGTCTGACAGTGGTTTAACCCTGAAAGGCTCTTGCATTTCAGTAATGAGTTATATTTCCTGTGCCTGTCCCAGCTGGAGATCCTGACTTACGCAACACGAGCAGAACCGCAGCCCCCGTGGGGCAGAGAGCAGCGCCGGCTTCTGTTACCGCGCTACTGAAACCATTTCCCCAGCTGGTTTCACCAAATAATTTCTCATTAAATGGAGACTTTCTCATTTGCTAAATATTTCTTTAGCACCTGGCCACTGCTCTGATTTGCACTCTGGAGAGAGGAGCCTTCTCTAAGAGCCAAATTGCAAATCCTCCCCTCCAGCTCACTGCTCTCCCTTACTCACGACTCCAGACTCACTGAATGGGGCTCTGCATTTTTATTGCTTAGCTCTTTGTGTTTATATTGATCAAATAGCCTAATGGGTGAAGGTTTGTCCTTGTAGTGGCCTTAGGGACAGGAATGATCACATTCAGGATGTGTTAGACATGGTGCATCAACCCTCCATACTGGCTGAGTACTATCTTTTTCCGATAGCTGCACATCAGTCTCCCTCCTTTCCAGGCAAGATTGGTAAAGTAGTTTCCAACTACTGTTCCATTTTGGCTCTTTTGATTCTGGAAAGTGGATCTTTGCTATCACTTCTCACCTATAGGGAAGGAAAAGGTCGTGTGGCAAAGTTAAATAGTTTCCCTAAAGCCACATGCTGAGCTTGAGGCCAAAAATTGACAGTAATTCTCTCTACAAGAGCCCTGGCTTAGGCAGCATCTTGTCCATCTTCCTGCAGTGTTTGTTTATCCCAGCACAACTGTTTGTATCCTTACAGAGGAATGTGTCCTGAATGTGATCATTCAGTTTTAAAAAAACCAAACCACAGAAAACCCAGGAGTTGGAGGAGTAGCTTGGTGGTGACTCAGGTGCTGTCACTGATCGAGATGTGCACGGCTGGTATGGCCTGGCTGGTCAGAAAGAAGTTGCTGCTGTGTCTTGGAGCCTGACTCGATTCAGGTCAGTGCTACCATGTGATCCAGATCTGCCCTGAGCTGGTATTAGTGAACATTGAGCCATGGCCTGAAACTGAGCCATGAGCAAACTCCTGGTTTCCCTGCTGCCGAACTCTGCTTTCTCTTTTACATGAGTATCTCTAATAAAGGCAGCAGGTGAATTCCCTTTCTTGGCTGCTCAATAGCCACACATGGCTTTACGGGAATAATTTAGCTAAACAGTCATCTAAATTCTCCTGTTATCCATGCTGAATTTCTAATTAATTAGCATAAAGTGGGCATTTATCTGAAACCAGATGACCACCTCCTCTCTCCCCACAGGTTCCTGCTCTTGAAATGGCAGGTCTAAGCTGCCTGGTCAGTCCTGGCTCATTCCAGTCCCACACTGCTAATTTTGAGGTTTTAGCCCTCAGCCTCTGCCCATCCTGGCTGCTCTCAGCGAGCCAAAGGCCAGGGCAGCACCTTCTGTGGTTTTGTTTTCATTGCTAAAGGTTAGAGGATCTCAGAGACAAAAGCACAGCCAAAAATAACAAGGGGCTAAGCAGGGCTTGCCCTGTGACGGGGAAGCAGGCGGGCTCCAGGGCTGTGTGCAGCCGATGTGCTGAGGTCAGGGATGCAGATGTGCACTCTATGGAAGGGGCAGATCCCGTTGTCGGGGATAAGGAGCTGCCAGCAGCTCCTGATGTTGGACAGGAACAGCCAGAAGCCCCCGGGGAGACAAATGCTGCCGCAGGGTATATGTATGGTGTTAGTCACTGATTCCCTTCTACAAGAACAGGCATTAGCACAAGGAGGAGGCAGCTGTAACCTGAATTCCTCATGAGTCTGAACTGGGGGAGGGAAAAGTTTTGGCTCGGATCTGTAGCTTGTGGGGAAGTGTGCACAGGGCTCAAGAGGAGGCAGAGCAGGAGGATGGATGTGGGGGGCTGTTGACCAAGAATAGATGTCTGCCCAACCCAAAATGAATGCTCTGCCATCCTTCTTTTCAATGAGAATTAAGATGTTGTTGAGCTTGGAAATGGAAATTACAGATCCAAGATGAGGCAAAACTAAAAATCCTGAGAGGTTCAAGTCAGAGAGACGAGATAAAACTCCATTTAGTGTCTGGAAAGAGCTGTCACATGAAATTGCAAATCCAAGTGCAAGGATTTGTGACAGACCTAATAAAAAGAAAGGTGGTGTTTTATAACCAGAGGCTGCAATCCTGCTGCCTAGTTCTGAGCAGGGGCACTGGGGAGGAAAGCGG